GCTTTGCTCTGCTTCGGGGCAAAAGGGGTCACCTGGCCGCCCCCCTTCCCTGTCCAGGCCATCAGCCTTTGTGTCGGTGCTGGGGCGGAGGCCGCCTCCCTCCGCGAGAACAACGCCGTGGAATTCCCATCCCCATCTCCCTGTTGGCGCAGTGCCCAGGGAAACTGAGGCACACACAGGGTTTAATATAAGAATAGAAGAACAGCCGGACTGGGTCAGACCAAAGGTCCATTTAGCCCAGTGACCTGCCTGCCCACAGTGGCCAATGCCAGGTGCCCCAGAGGGAGTGAACAAAACAGGGAATAATCATGTGATCCCTCCCCTGTCATCCATCTCCAGAGAAACAGAGGCTCAGGACACAATCCTTACCCATCCTGGCTAAGAGCCATCAATGGACCTATGCTCCATGAATCTATCTAGCTCTTTTTTGAACCCTGTTAAAGTCCTGGTCTTCACAACATCCTCTGGCAAGGAGTTCCACAGGTTGATGGTGCGGCCAGTAGGACAGTAGAGTGCACATGCAACATCCCCAGGGGAATAAAATCCCCACTTCGTTACAGGGACTCAGCCTGACCCTCCATATCACACACTCCTTTGGGGGAGGGGGGTTCCCCACCCTGTCTCCCTCTGTAACAAAGCAGGGAGGAGGTTGTTTCTTAATGAAAATAGTGGGGATTTTCTTAATGGTTTGCAGGAGTGCAGCGTGTCCTTCAGTTTCCCTGTGTGCTGTGTGTGTAGCAAGGTGATGGTGTGTGTGTGTGGGGGGGGTGTTGGGGCAGGGGGCCAGGCGTGCCCTCGCCTGGCAGCCTGGGCCCCGGACAACAGCCTGGAGACTGGGGAACCGAACAATCGACAATCGGGAGACACACCCCAGCCTGGCAGCCAGCTGGTGCTGGCCAGTGATCGCACCCAGGGCAGAGGGGAGAGGACCAGGGTGACTGGACCTGTCGCTCCCAGGCAGCGGGAAGAGGGGGGAGGGTGACCGTGATCCCTTTGTTGGGAAACAGGTGGAGAAGGGACCATGGGGGGATTGGCTGGAGGGGGCGGAGGACAGAGGCCAGGGTCTCTCCCCTCTAGGGGACACCAGTCCACATCCGGCCTCAGGGCAGAGACTGGCTGG